GCTGGAAAGGGGGTAAGACCATTTAGTGGATCTTTGAGCTTCAGATAATAGCGCGTGGATTCGCTTATCGAAAGTCTTTTGGGGCTGCAGAGTTTACCAGAGGCGAGTGTCAATAGTCATCACCACCAAGTCCACGATATGATTGGGTGTTCAGACCATCTTGAGGAGAGATACTTTATATTGCGTGAGTGGTTTCTTAAGGTTCTATCAATGATGGGGGAAAACCTGTCACACATATAAATTCCGCAAACCGCCTCCATCACCGCCCTCACAAACCTCTTCTTTTCATCATCATTTCCTTTTTCTTTCCCAGCTCGATGGGTAACAGGTCGAGCACCATGTCTCAAGACTCAGCCACCATTTCTCCTGATCTGCCCGCTCAGTTCATCACATCGTAAGTATGGTGGACTGACATGCATCCTTCTAAGCTAACAAATATTTAGACCCTATGCAGACAGCTTTGTGAAGGTTCTGTTAAAAGGAAAGTCGATCACGTGGATTCATAGAGGAGTCGTCCCAGACAATGTTCTATCCAACAAGAGTACGCATGAACTTGGATCCAAGTCAGCTTCGCCGATCTTGGATATGCAGAACATTGGGAATGACATAGCCCATGTGATCTTGCATTACTTTTACACCAAACAGTATGACTGCATCAAACCCTCGGGCACATCTGGCGATATAGCGAAGGGATACGAGCTCCGGGTGTCGCTGCAGGTCATTGAAGCTGCTAGAAAGACGCAACTGTTTAATTTGGTAGACCTGGCCAAGGAACAGTGCGCACGCCTATGTCATCAAATGGATCTCTTGAATCTTGTTGCCATCTTGGGAAAGATTAACATCGATTATGATAACTTCCCCGAACTTACAAAGCATATCGCATTTCACCTTGAGAAAGTGCTCGCAAACCCTCACAGCCAATTTTCTAACGACCTCCTGAATCGGGTTACTTCAAACAGCATCACAGACATGCTTATTCGCAAGTTGATCATGGTTGCCCGAGATGAGCCAACAAGTGAACCCAAAGCGAAGCCCAGACCCGAGAATGAAGCCCGAAACCTGTCTGTCTGTCCTTCCATAGACTATACCTCTACGGTGGAGTGTGGCATTGCAAAACCTGAATGGTCGCCCTTTACATACGAGCTTCGAACTCAAGATCTTCAGAAACTTCGCAAGAACCCGCAGCCTGACGACAAAGGTAAGGGACGAGATGTCTCCAGATCGGCAGAGAATCCTTCAAAGGTTCCCGAAATAAGAGTCTCTCACCACGAGCTGCGTGGTGCAAAGGGACAAAAGGAAGCTCAATCTGGGCCTTCAAGGGTGAGAGGCTGGCCTTGTCCATTTTCGCCTCCCTGCGGCGGGTGTGCTGATGCTGAAAGGAAGGCAAACCCTCCTACCCCTAAACTTGAGAGTACCATCGCATATATGAAGGACTTCGTTGGTAAGTGAATACATAATCCCTTTGCATTGCCTGCAGCTAGCTAATGGTTCAGCGGCTGAGAAATCATCGGCTGCTGACTGGCAGGTACCAAAATCCGAGGCCGAGAAATCCGAAACGTCAGAGAGCGACCGAGAGTCTACTATCGCCGTTGTTTCCGACGACGAGGGAGTGCTTGTCGAGTCAAGTCCTGAACCTAACATGACACCAAGCCCGGTGGGATCGGGCAACACAAACAGCATGGATCACTTCTTGGTGTACGACCAATGGTAATACCATTGAGTTCTGTCTGCTGGTTCAAGCTCTCAGCCTATTTACTAGTGACTAGTCTAGGTGTTTGAGCTTTGATGCCGAGGGCGCGTGCTCGATAAATAATGTTCATTAATTAAAATGCTATTAAAATTCATCTCTGCTGCCTTGAATATCGTGTTTGTAGTGCCAAAGAGAAAGACACCGCTTAGCATATGCTCATCACATTACCTATTCAAGTCTCTCAATTTGTCAATATGTCAAGTGATCAGTTGACGTATTTGGGCTTCACTCGTGTCTGCAAAAGCCATCTGTAATTCAGCCGCTTCTCGAGACCAACCAAGTTATTCTATAGAAAGTTGACCAAGATTAACAATGGTGGAAACTTTCGCGATGAGTGAAGGTTGGAGACTTCTGTCTCGGTGGGTAGAAGTCCGATACTGACATCGGTCTAGTTGACCGGACACTATGTGTTTCAAGATCGCCTATTTGACCCTAAGCCTAGATCTTTCGGTATGGTTCCAATTATTGGATAGCATGGGCGCCACTGGATGTATTCACCGATGTTGTTATCACTGGGTGATGCGGGAGGCCTACCAGGACACGTCATAGACACAGCACCAACAGAACAAAAATGTTGATAAGAGGAGAAGGCCTCATCTACCCCTCATTTTGTTTCTCTGATCTTCACCTGCATCATCCAGAAACAAAAAAGCTCAAGTCATAGATCGGGGCGATACGATGTCCCCGGAAAAGTCGTATGTGCGCTGACCTACGAATAAGCCATCCGATACTGACACAGAGAAAAGCCAGTACACTGGGGATGTTTGCCACATCCTATTCAGATCCCAAGGGCCTCTTCTGATTCCTAGAGCTATCCTCAAAAAATGCCCAAAACTTGCCGCAAGACTGGACAAGAAGCACATCTTCTCTAAGCCACTCGACACTGTCGACATCGAAGACTACCCGTTCTCAGTTGGGCACATACTCATTCATTACCTAACCACCGATAAATATGAGTGCCTCCAGCCAGAAGGAGAAACGGAAGATGAGCGAAACTGCTCAGAGCTTGCCACTTCCTTTAAGGCTCATGCTGCCGCTGTCGATCTGGAGCTTCCATTTCTTCAGCTCCTGGCATCTTCTGAGATGAGGAGACTGGAAGGGAAACTGAGTCTAGTCTTGATCACGCGGACACTGAACGATACTAGACTACCACTAGATCAGTATCCGACGATTACGGCGAATTTCGTATCGTGTGTCATAAGATTGTCAGCATCCCCCTCGAAGGAGTGCAAAGAAGAAATGATGAACCAGCTTGGAGTTCCGGAGAATGTTGCTATGGTCCTGGTGAAACGCTTGCTTCAGTCCAAAGGTATCACGCTCACTCGAGACCACTCCAGTGAGATTGGCTCGGAGGACGAGAAAGCCTTGAATACAAGTCAGCTCGAGCAGGAAGAATGTGAGCTTCTGACAATATTAGAGACTTTCGACAAGGAGAAGGCTCATATATATCAATCGACCTTTGAGACTGGCGTTCGAGAGAAGATGGCTAGGGAAGCACTGGCCAAGACGATTCTTGAGACTTGGGAAGCTAGCGGTGGAAGCCTATCGTCCCTACAACACGCTCGTCTCGAGGAACTCCAAAATATCTCTGACAAGCTTTCTCAAGACTTGGATATCTGCAAAACAGACTTGGCAACCTCGAAAAAGCGCGTACAACAGTTGAAAGTAGAAGCAAAGGCCATTTTGGAAAGGCTGGCTTTGGAGCATGAGATCCAAAGCATACTTGAACGCCAAAAACAGCAAAACGGATTCTTAGCTTTGAGTGACCGACTTCGACTGAGGTCTGCGCAATCTCGTAGCAACGACCTCAGTACCGCGGTGTCCGTTGATTCTCTGGTCCATTCGGATACCAAGCACCTCAGGCTGACGGGTCCAGACCAGGAAGAAGAGAGCCAACCCGATGAAGGTGAGCTAGTGAGTTGAGCATACGGGTTTATCTAACAATCTCTTAGATGGCGCCCAAACACCGACCCGCACGTCGTGTAACAGAAGAGACCATCAATCATTCAATGTGAAAGGCGCTAAAGATAGACTTGAGGAATTCCGTGCAAGCCTGGGTGAGTTCAATAAGAAGAAGAACTGAAAGGCATAAGATTGAAAGTTACATGGCTGATACATATAATAGAAGACTTCGCGTCTGAAGCTACAAGCACATCTGGGCAGGCTACGCCCACTTCGGCCTTAAGTTTTGAACCGGAGCTGTATGAGAGTTATGCGGCTGCACTGAAAGGTTGAAGATCTGGCAGCGAGCAAGTCCAACACTTGATCGATTCTGGCTCTCATTTCAGAAATAAGTAGAGTGTATGGTGGAAATTGAAACTAAAGCTATATTTGTCTTCCTGCAAGAACAAGGAATGTGCCAGCTAAGGCCTCTGAACAGTTCGGTCCATTGTATCCTCTCCTAGGCCAAACTCCCAAAGTCCATAACGGCTGTTTAGCTTGTGAAATGCGATGTATCCGAGGAGGTGAGTGTTTAATAGTTTGAGATATGGCTCTCGACAAGTGAACTCAGAGTAGGCCCCATGTTTTGGATAACTAGCAGTAAAGGATGCTGGATGTCATCGATCTTTCGATTTCCAACATCCTCTGCGCTTGGGCTACGTGTATTTATACCCCCTCATCTTTTTGACGAGAATGTGGTAGCATCGAGTCGCTAAGGTCTGTTGTATGTAGTTACATCCTTCTCGTATCCTCCTCAGACGACACCTCGCTTAGAAAGTTATACTAGAGAGAAAAAGGGAAACTTGTCCGACTTTTGGAAGGACTTTTGCAACAAGATGGAGGAAATCCAGGGTCGTGAACCAGCTGCATATAAGTAAGCCAACAACTAACACTTATAAGTGGAGATGATGCACGTCTTATCATACGAAAAACAGGGTTAGCTTGAAAATATTGCCGAGACTGCTCGCTTATGCACGAAATTGTGGTGATACTTAGCAAATGGTCGCTATGGGATGATGATTCCTTATGACGGGCCCTTGAGGAGCAAGAAAACTCGCAAACCTGAACAAAGGATGCTCAAATAAACTTAGTAAACAGCCCGACAACTTTAGGTTAAATTATTTAAACAATTAAGGTCAAGGCCCTGAGTTTTCTCGCTTCTCAAGCGGGCTTATAGATTTCCACTTTAATCCGCAAAAAAAAACAAGAGTCCTCGGTTAATTGAACTATGGGCAACCGCCCTTATCTTGGTAACGACCTTTATCTTGGACTACAGGAGGACGATGGGAGACCATCAACTAGTTTAGAACTATTTCTCAGCATGTGGCTTTCGACCATAAACATATCGAACACGCATGTATCCATGGATCCTCTTATCTTTGAAAGCCTTTCTCATGTTCATTAGGAATACCTGATATTCATCTTCAGGCCAGTTCATGATCTGGTGCCAAACCATCATTGTGTATCCTTTGAACATTAAGCATCTGTAGGTGAAAACCTCAAAGGAAGGACGCCTTACCTTCAAGGTCATTTTCTATCGAAGCTCGGAGGAATTGGCCGACCTTTCGCATCTTCTCGTCTTTGGGCCATCCACCAATGGGAACCTGAACAGTGTTAGCTTGAAGCCATGTCAAGGTCTAGATGGCCGGGTACCTTGAAGTCAAAGCTCTGCACATCTACCAAACCAGCATCGCGAAATAGTTGAACATCGTTCTCAATATCAGTAAAACTCCTTCCGAAGCCCTTACCACTCTCAATAACCAGTCTGTTCCAGGTCTGGAGAGCCTCAACTTTATTGATGCTACCGTCATCCGAATAGAAAGTTGGGTTGATCTCCCCAGACTCAACAAAACCACCTGGCTTACAGCAGTGAGAAGCCTCTTTGAACAGTGTTCCCCAGTCTGCTATGGCGCCCATGAGGAAACGGACGTGGACGAGATCAAAGTGATTTTCAGGCCAGCTCCAGGCTTTCGTTGCGTCCTCAAGCTCGAACTTGACATTTGGAGGGACCCAGCTTGGTTGAATGGGAGAGAGGTCGGTTCCGATGACCTCAATGTTGGGGTGTTCATCGGCAAAGTCACTACACCAGTTAGTATCATATGAGCACCCCACTAGGGAGCTTCAGAGGTGAATACATTGCCCAGATTCCTTGAATTTGTGAGTCCTCATATAATTACGTTAGGGCTTGTTACATACCAGTTCCAGTACCGACGTCAAGAACCCGCTTTAGTTTGTCAGTCTCCCGACGTGCTTCGGTGTCTAGAGGGAGCACGAACCTGGATATCATCTTTTAAAGGGACAAGCGTCAACTTTCCATCAAGGAGCAGTGTCAGAACATGGTGCCTATTCATGTCAGTAATTTCCGTGGCCATGATAATGATCTTACGTGATATCAATTGAATCTCTCTGCTGCTCGTCGTTCGGCGTAAAGTACTCTGTATTATACCTCTCGCTATGAAAGGTTCGTCCTTGGAACTTGCGATATTCCAGGATGCTCGATGAGATGGAGGCAGTAGAGCTTTCTCTGTAGGGAATGGTTAGTTATAGTTCCTATGGTCCCGAAAGATACTGACGCATCATCTCCGAAGGCTGAGTCGCTGGCATCTTCGTCGGCCTCTTCCTGATAAACACATTAATATGAGACTTGAGGAACTGCCAATTCGCGCTTGGTACCTGTGCGACAATAGGGCCTTCAATGGGAGAACTGCCGGGTGAGATATTCTGCTTCGTTACGCCATCGCGAGGACTTGGGCCTTCACTGTCAGGTTTTGGTGAAGCCATAATGATTATTGCTCTCTCACAGATTGCAGTTTGCAATTGAGGGGAAGCAGAAATTGAGAACAGGAAATGAACCAGGTTACACCGGTTATTCCCTGCCATTGCCGCAGGATTCTACCGACCCAATCACTCAACCATGGATGCCAGGATGTTGCATTCTGTGTCTCAATGTCACTTTGTCGCCATCCGCATGTACTTATCGCCGTGGATAATCCGCGGACAGGGGTCTCATTACGCAAGTCTATGCGGCGTATGCGCTCGTTCTTCTTGGCGACTTTTGAAATATGAATTGCAACGTACTGATCACCATCAACGACCATGACCTTTGACTGGTCAGATTAGAGAAACAACATCCTTCACACAAATAATTATTGCAACCTTCTAATTTGAGACTCTGTTGGTTGCATCAATCCACTGAACGACTGGGTTCGGGTTATTTACAGCAACCGATTGGCCTGTTGGCTAATCCTTAACGTTTCATATGCACAACACTCTTCCCCATTAGATATCGGCCCATTATTTGCTAGGGCCCAGACTGATCATCCCTTGCCGAGTTGTTTGCCCGGTTATTATGGTGGATTTAGTAATGTCGAACAGTCAGGCCGGGATGTGGACTCATCCAATCATCCACGGTCAAACTATTGTGATTGTTTCTGATATAAATCGACGTGTCAGGTCTGCATGCTTTGCTACAAACCCCGGCCCAGCTTCCCAGTATCCAGCTCTTGTGAAAGTACCATCATCGTTCTTCTGCACGAGAAGACCATACGTTCGAGGTTCGTTCGATGTCTCCAAAATTGCAAGGAGATACATGTTTTTTTGGGATATCAGCCAAGCCTTCCTTTCACCGTCCTCCCAAAATTCCACAGTATCAGAACTGATGCCAAAAGTGTGTCCTAGCACCGTTTTTATATCTTGATAGCCTTTACGACCACGTCTACCCTCGGCCACGAATTCCTCATCGTTGGCGTCCTTGAGGATGAGTTCATCAGACGCTACCAGAGGTCCAGTCAGTGTTAAGGAAGCAGACTTTACTTGGCCGAATTGGTTGTTAGGGTCAACAAATTCCACTGTAACATCGACTACATCGGCCAGAACAGTTCCTTCGTCGTCCAGAATATCATATCTGACACGGCAATCCAAGACGGCCCAACTCCAAGACGGTGCACGATAAACCTCTGACCGTCCTAGTCTCCCAACAGGAGACATCTCCCAAAGGAGACCCTGTGGCATGGTGCTGCGAAATATTCCAGCGCAATATTCGCTGCCGAACCATGAGATACAACGTCGGGCGACGGCGGCGAAGGCAACAAGTTTGTCGTCATCCGGATGACTAAGTTGGCGGGTCATGTATGGGAACACCAGATCGTAGTAGTATGTGAAAGTATCTCCCTTTTGACGAACACTGAATGCATTTCGGGCCAAGCAATCGAAGCCGTACCATCTATCGTCGTTCACGCCTTCTGGAAGATATTCAGTGAGGTTGCTGCTTCTATCGCACTCCCAGGAAATGCGGTCAGAACCAAAATGTAAGGTTCTCGGCGAAAGCAGCCGCTCTTGGAATACCCATGCCCTGCTACTAAGAGGGAGATTTACTCTTGCCCAAGAGAAGTCGTCGGCGGTGAATATGGAGCAGATATTCCAGATATCTGAGCTTTCTGAGCCATCACCTATGTTGTGTTCACTTTCGCTTGAACCTTTGGGCGGTGTGTAAAACGGACTCCATACATAGCAGTCTTGCAGATACGTCGGATCCCTCGACCTGAAAGCACCTCCATGGGGGTTCCCAGAAACATCAATGGAAATGTTCAAGGCGCAGTTGTGATAAACTAGATGCATGTCCTCTGAATGTGAGAGCCAATCTTCGTGAGAACCGAGGCCAGATTGCAGGATACATAGCGAGTCGATCCAGATGTAGGGAATGCCAATTCGACGACAGGTCATAATTGCATCTCTGAAGCTGGCTGGGAGGTTCTGTAATTGGATTTCCCTGCAAAAGCCGAACAAGTTGTCCGATCTTAACATCAAGAACTTTGGGTCTTCTCCCCAGCAATGACTCAATGCCGCATAACAGCCTTCCGGTCTTTCGTTCTCCGAAATGATCAGTCTTGGGGAATGTTGTTTATCGCCAACATGAATAAGTCGTTTGGGATACCAGCCATCTTCCGAAGCAGATCCGCACTCATGACGGTCTCTACAGGTCTGAAGCCATCTCTTAGCTAGCCGTGCAACATCCTGGTGGCCGGTATTATCGGGGATATCTCGCAGCGGAGGAAATTCCGTTCGGACTCTTGTTGGTTCAGAGCTTCGATCAGCAGCAACAATGTCGAGGAACTGGTCATAACCAGTTGGAGGTTTTGATAAGGAAGACACATCAACGAACACGCCCCAGTCTGAGAAGACTCGGGCTTTGTGATCGTGGACTGATGGTCCGGTGCCAACCTCGTAGAATTCAATTTCCCAATGAAATTCCCATGCGTTTCCCCACTTGGCCTCATATTCTATAGCCTTTAAATCCTCAGAGGGAAGCTTGCTTCGCAAGTAGTGACAGATTCTGCACCCATTCTTTGCAGCGGTGGCAATACTTTCATAATTCTTGTGGTGAAGCCCTTTCTTCGCGTTGGTCTGAAACATGGACATGCATACTGCACACAACATTATGGCGAAAAAGGACCACTGTAGTGCTTGCGAAAGGGTTTCGAATGAGACCGAAAATATCTCATTTTGCTGACTGTCGTGAGCTGACACGAGTGGGGTTGCTTGGGGGCTAAAATAGATAACCCATGTCAAATTGGACTGCTTTCCTCACTCCAGTAACAGCTGACGGTGTAAGGAAGAATAGTAAGCGATGTAAAGAAGATTGCCAGAGAGAAGACGGAATTAACACCAACATGATACACTAGAATCTGAAGTGTGCAGCTGGGCAAATGGAATAATGAAAACAATATGAGAAGGCTTCGGCAACGTCGCCGCAACAGTGTGCACTTGATAAAATGCGCGTGTCCATCGCTTGCTAGCGTTGATGTAAAGCGTAAGAAAAAGGCCTTTCGGTCTCCTCGGCGCAAATGGCCCTGAGATTGACGTAGTTAGTGAGGCATAAACATTCAAAGTCCCGCAGAGAATGATTGCTTTTCCTTATAAAGTAAACTCGATTCACTAAACGAATAGCCCTAACTAATTCCTTCTCGTGAAATACTCCGAAAACTCAGCATTGTCCTTGAGCCTCCGTAGAGTTCTTTTATCATACTGAAGCGAGATTTCCAGCCCCTTAGAATCAGCACGCCGTGGTGGTAGAATTAGACAACGGCCATCGGGCTTATCTTCTGTATCCCCAACAGTAAATCTCATGGCGAGAGGATAACCAATATCCTCCCCAAAGTTGATATCGTTATACTTGTGGTGCTGGATGCACACTATGAGCATATCAGGACCTGGATAACGATTGGCGTTCCACGTCAAAGTGGTGCTCTTCGGCATCTGATTTAAAAGTCCGACGAGTCGTCTAACCGCCTTGTCATCCACTGCAGCCATCGCCCTCTGTACAATGTGTGCGGCCTGACCATAAATTGTGCTTGTGCAATGCTGTGACGATACCGATGAGAGAGCCGAGCTTTCTTGTAGACTAGCTACAGGTAGCTGAGCCACCGCATTTGGCTCTGCAAAGTTGCCCCAATACGTAGACGGTATCACTGGACTTTTCATACGGGGTCTTGCATCCACTGTAACAGCTAGCTTTGCCTCAGGATACTTTCGACAATCGATGTCTCTGGCCACAACTACATGACGCCATAGGAACGCGCACAATACACTGACTGTTCCAGCCTTGGTAGTAGGAGGCATAGCGTTCAATATTTGTGTTTTGAGTTGTGTAAGCTTATCAGCTGGGATAAAGTAAGTGGCGCTCTCAAACACCTCGTCTGAATCGTATTCCGTGGGATTGAGAAATTTGTCCTTATGTTCTGCCAGTTTCCAGTGGGGAAACTCCTGCAAGGATGTGTTGAGGTCGCCCTTGACGATGTCGTGTCTGTCCAATGATTGGACTGGAGGTCCTTGTGTGCTTGATGGTTCACTAGTTGCGGCAGCAAAATATGACCCTATTGTGGACCAAAGCATGAAGTTACATTGACCATCTCCAGCTACATGCTATTGATTCGTCAGTATGCAGTCCAAGATCTTCAAATGCGAAAACCTACATGTAACTGGCTCCCAAGAATGAGACCCCCGGGGATAAAGTTGACTTGCACGATAAGAGAAGGGAGCTTCACGTTGTCTTTTAACTTAGATGAAGGTCCAAAAACAAGGCTCCTGGGCATTTTACTATGTGGGAAATGCTCCTTTTCAAGCTGATCGAAACCGCCATAGGTCCATAGGCCACGAAGTTGAGGAGAACTGTAGTCTTTGTAGTAAATCTCGACGCCTCTAGCAGAGTCAAAGACAAGCTCAACCTCTTCACGGCTATTGTCAACACGCTTTTGCACACAGCATGTAAGCTCAGGAATATCGTTCACGGTCATCAAAAGAGCCTTATGCATAGCAAGAAAGATCTGCTGCTTGTCTGCATCGGGACTGTGTCGAAAGAAGAGACATGTTGATATGTAGTCTCTGGGCGCAATTTGATCAATGGCAGAAAGCCTCACTACCTGACCGTGACTATTTGGATGTGCTCGGATGACTGCAACGGAACTTGGAGAGAGCTCAGGCACAACTCTCAAAGTACCGGCCATACCAGGCGACTTGGAGGTGTTATGCTGTTCTTTTGGCTTTTGTGCTTTGTGAGGGGCGTCGTGGTAAAAAAAAAGGTATAACAAAGGATTAAACTGAAGTAGAGAGCGATCACGAAGTTATGGATGCCTGCCAGAAATGCCAGAAATGGTATTGGATGTTATTCCAGCAAGACCAATAGTGGCACATTGATAGATGAAAGCTGAATTGTGGAGGAATATTTTGGTGCTCCTGGGCCAGGGTCTACTAATCCACAATCGTGAGGACCCTGGAGCGGGCATTGTAATTGAAACTACCTAGTCTTACAATTACACCGGGTTCTATGTCATGTTGCCTAGCCTACCATCGTAAAGGACAGTGTAAATACACATCTTAAACATAACAACTTGTTTCAATCATTATCCCTAGAGTAGGGGCCCTGTCAAGCGTGGCAAAATGACTAAGGTATCTTGGAAAATTTCAACGGTGAGACACGGCATATAATCTCCCTTTATCTGGAGTCATTTGAGCCGTGAATTGATTCAGCAAAGCTGGGGTCCGGGGCTATTGTCTCATTTAGCCACGCGTTCACCCAACCAGTAAAAAGAGTCCGCGATCGCTTGTTCTCAGAACTGGCATGTAAATACATGACAGTCGGCGTTTTGTCGACTATCTAGAAGCGCAATGTGGCAGTAGCTATAGTATTCCATCTCCTAAATAGCCTCCAATATGTCTTAGCTATTAATCTTTGTGCCGCGCCCCAAGGGTTCTTAGAGACAAGGGTATGCACTTCCCCGCATCTCACTACTAGATCTACGGTTCCAGGTAATCAACAACAGAATTTGCGAGAACATTCTGCAAGAGTTTAATCAGGTAGTAGATTTTAATAGGCTTTTTAAATTCCCTTTTGTCAATTTTCCTCTTTCGAATATCTAGTGAGGCCCTGGCATCGATAATCAATTATGTAAACTAAATCAGCTACAGTGCCCGTGTCTTCTTCACGAATGATCGAGGATAACAACGGACCAGTTTCTATACATTGCCTAGTCATAGTCATCGCTTTTTTCCGATACGAGAAACTAGTATTAGCGCTGACATTTTCGTCTTCTCAAACATGTCGATCTCGGTATCCAGGGGGCTTCCGAGACACTGACGCGTACGCAAAGACTTAGCTGTTGAGATCTAGAGGAACTAATACAGAAGAATATCTCACGTTGCAATGTGTTGGCTGTCTCAACATTGGGAAAGATTGGAGCATGTACACGCATTCCATCTCAGGCTATCTACTTACGTATTGTTTTGTTTATCCTTTGCGATCGGCGTTCGATCAAGCCAACTTATCTAAAAGCAGCCTATAATTGAGTGACATCTAAGAAGTTGAACCTGAAGTTAACAGATGTGAACAGCTCAGAAAGTAAAAACTCAAAATTCACTCTAACAAACCATGGAGACAACAATGAATCAGCAACTACTGGATACCTCCTGGGTCGAACCAGCAGGCCCTGTGAGCCCTGCTTTTATCGAACTATCTGCCATGGACAACTTGACAGCACCTGTTTACCCTTCGCCAACATTATTCTTCCCCCTCAAGCCAGGTGTAAACCCCCTGGACCTTTATGACGATTGCAGACGGGGTCTCGCGCGTCACTTATATCAGAAACCTCATCTGTGCGGCAGACTTGTCAAAGATGTCACAGGAAGAAATTCGGTTGAAATCCCTCCAGCACCTTACGCTGGTGCTAAGCTTGAATACTACGACCATCGGCATGAGAAGGAAATACCTTCATATGAAGAGTTCAGAAGCTTTGGCTTTCCGTTTGCCGATGGCAATAGAGACGGGCTAAGAAAACTTTGCTCCGAGAACTTTCCACGTGTCCAAACGGGTGATCCTATCACCATTGCCCGTTTCAATGTTCTCAGAGGTGGGATCGTTCTGACAGTCTCTGTCGCTCACGTAATATGCGATCTGGTACAATACATTGACTGTATAAAGTCCTGGGCTACCCAGACGCAAGCCGTTTCCAATGCTCGGATGAGAAATGAGCCGGAGCCTCCACTGCCAAAACAAGTGGCGCTGCATCTGGTCGATCGGTCGCCAATGATGGCCAACGCACAGATCGAACATGATCTTGATAAAGTGGCCGCACGGGCAGCAAATCTTCCGCATTGGACAATGCTTGATCCTCGGGACCCAGAGAGTATGGCTTCAACATTAGAAAATCTCTTCACAACGGCGCGTTTGACAGACTATGATCTCGCCTCCGCCGATGAAGCTGAGCTCCGTCAGCCATCAGCTAGTGTATGGACATTCCCCAAATCGTCAATGCAGATTTTTGATTTCATGGCTCAGAAAGGGTCATCAGGAAAGAAAAGGCTGTCGACAATTGACTGCTTAACTGCATTTACCTGGCAGCGTTTCTTCGAAGCAAAATGGGCACCGAATCAGTCTGGTCCAGAACCTGTACCTGAAACGACACGCATCGTTTACGTTGGAAATGTTCGGTCTCGTCTTACACCTCCCTTACCTCTCGACTACCTGCCAACATGTTTGGATCTATTCCCAGTCGCCGCAAGAACCAATGGATTCCACGTCTGTTCCCCTCGATCTGTAGCTGAGTTGGCTACCAAGATTCGCAGCAGTAACAACAACTGGAGTGAGGAGACATTCCGCGAGATGCTGGAAGTGGCACAGATGCATCCATTCAGCCCCGGTATAGTCCCAAATGGCCCTCTAGACGCCTTCACAACCGATCACACGCGTCTTGGTCCAGCTGCAGCTGAGGATTGGGGTGCTCTTGGTAGATGCGAGGCGTTCCGTGAACCGTATATTGGCCGAACACCCCCTCTAGGCGAGATTACCTTCCTCCCGCGTTGGCATAATGGGGAGATAAGCGTCATGTTCGCGGGTGAAGCGATTGTCATGGAGAGGTTGAGAGATAATAAGACGATGAACGCTGCAGCTTCTTGCCAGTTTGTCATGCATGACTTCCCCAGGACAGCGAAAAAGGTCAGGCGACCGCCGCGACCCTCCAGGTTGTAGGAACATGTTAATGACAGATGAAGAGTTAGGCTCAGACGCTGAAACCTCTGATACAAGAGCGCAGCAGATGGGACTAGCGTTGATATCATACACAACTATATACATATTAAGCATACCTCCGATAGTCGAGTCCATAGGGGACGTAGTTGATCCCTGGCCGAGTCCTCTTACAACCAGGAGACAAACCTCGTGACCAGCCAGCCCCCAAATATACATGGTTCGCCGGCCGAGAGAGCAAATTGAATGAGACTCATGTTTAATGCTTGAGTTGTTGGAAAGCTTGCTTGGTGGTAGAACTATATCACATATGTTGGTAGTCCAGTGCCAGAGAGGATCTGGATGCCCCGGGTATAACATGTTTGATCTGACGCTGGCTAATACCACCAAACAGAAGCTAGGATCGAAGATCGTGTATCCACTAGACTTGGTCAGAATGAGACAATAGCGCGGCAAGTACCGAGGCCCAAAAACTCTGTTAGACACTGCTAAACCGATCGTGGACCAAGTCCCAGCCAACCATACGAGAATTGACGTGATGGACGGGCCCCTTTGTCAGGAATGACGAAGACCATTCGACGTCAGTGTCTCTGTTCTCGTAGCCAAGTTTTCACATCTGCAAGCACTTACACCTACGTCTGTATTTTCTGTTTTTGATAAATCTATCCCAATTGCACTTGTTTTAGTGTTGAAGTAATCGCCGATATGCCTTCCAACAACGCCGCCTGGCTAGTCGCCGCAAAGACGTCACCACTCGAGGTCAAGGAAGCCCCCCTCACCGGACCATCTTCAGACCACATCCTCGTCAAAAACTCAGCCATTGCCATCAACCCCGTTGACATCGCCAACCAATACGTCGGCATCTTCCTCCAACCCTCTCAATACCCTGTTATTCTCGGCGAAGACGTCGCTGGCACCGTTGAAGCCGTAGGCCCTGATGTCACCGCCTTCAAGCCCGGTGATAGAGTCCTAGGCTATGCGACGTCGCTCGCCACCAAGGATAATGCGCACAGCGCATTCCAGGAATACACGGTTATTCGCGCTGAGTGCGCTTCTAAAATCCCAGAGAGTTTGAGTTTTGAACAAGCTGCTGTTTTGCCACTTTCGCTTGCTACAGCTGCGTGGTCGCTTTTCGGCGATGTGACGCTCGCGATGAGATATCCTAGTCTGAACCCCACGCCTACTGAGGAAACGGTTCTCATCTGGGGAGGTTCATCTAGCGTCGGCGGCTCAGCCGTTCAGCTTGCGAAAGCGGCTGGGTACGAAGTCATCACGACTGCATCTGCCAAAAACCACGACTACGTCAAGAGTCTTGGAGCAGACCACGTCTTTGAATACAAGTCTCCCCAAGTCACCAAAGACATCGCCTCTCTGCTCACCGGCAAGAAACTCGCTGGTGCATTTGATGCCAGCGGTTCAGAAGACGGCATGAACAGCGCAAGTCAATCAATTGTTCACGCCGACGGTCTTCGCAAACTCATCTGCGTGCGATCTGTCTCCTCTGAAGTCGCGGGCGTCGAGGCCAAGACCATTCTTTCGACTAGTATTATCAACACCCCTGTTGCCAAGGCTGTTTTCGGGGATTATATACCCGCTGCTCTGGAACAGGGCAAATTCAAGGCTGTGCCGGAAGCGGAGGTTGTTGGAAAAGGCTTGGAGGCTGTTCAGTTGGGCATCAACACGCTCGCCAAGGGCATTTCGGCTAAGAAGATCGTTGTCACTCTGTAAAGGATGATAAGACTACATAAACTAGGCTTGGTGCGAGTTTTTAGATATAGTTGGAAGACTAGTTTTGAGAAATAGAAATAGTTTGTCAGCTGATTATGCTCCAATGTGATCACCCACCTTAACCTCGGGTCAGTTTCTCCCCTCTTTTCCACCAAGGCTTCAGCCTCAAAAATTCGCGCTATCATCCACGCCATAGACTTCTGAAACGTCCATTCATTCATGATCATAAAAACTAGTACAATGTCTGACACTGAAGACAAGGAAACCATTGCCCTCATTGGCTTGGGCACAATTGGCCTCTCATTCGCTGCACTGCATCTACGCTATTCAAACGCCAACCTCAGACTGTATGACGTCCGCAGTGATTTGAAGGAGCATATCGAAAGCTTGTTACCGGTGTATCTGGAGTCAACAAAGAAAGAAAATTCACAGGCCGATCTTACAGTCGAGAAACTCGTTGCCGACGGTCGACTGCTTGTATGCTCTTCAATCGAAGAAGTTTGCTCTGCGGCAACAATCGTCCAAGAGCAAGGACCCGATAGTGTTGATTTCAAAAAGTCGAATTGGGCTGAGGTCATTAAATACGCACCCTCAAATGCTCACTTGTGGAGCTCCACGTCTGGGATCAGTGCATCGAGGCAGGTGGAGGATCTAGAGGACAAGACCAGAGTCCTCGTGGTTCATCCTTTCAATCCGGTCAGCTCGTCCAATTCTTCATCTCAAATTTCATTCTGACACATCGTTCTAGCCTCATATAATGCCATTGATTGAAGTCGTCCCTTCACCTCATACAGACCCAGAACGAACTCAGTTCGCCATCGATTACTTCAAAAATCTCGGCTCCGGCCATCGCCCCGTTAAGATCAACAAAGAGACCCAAGGCTTCGTCGGAAACCGTCTAGCTTTTGCCTTGTTCCGCGAAGCTTGCCATCTAGTCTCAAACGACGTTGTCTCAGTCGAAGATCTTGACACTATCGTTGAAGCCAGCATAGCGCCGCGCTGGGCAGTAGCTGGGCCGTTCAAGACATACAACAGTGCTGGTGGAACTGGAGGCATCGGAGCGTTTCTTCATAATTTGGCTGATACCATGGAAGCTTGCTGGGATGACGCAGGTGATATTAGTCTCAAGGGGACGTCTGTGACTAAAGCTAGCCAAGGAACTGATGATGGGGACTGGACGGATAAGATCACGAAGGAAACGGAACAGGCTTATGGAAGACCAACGGTAGAGTCGCTGGCACAGCGTGATCGGAACTTGCAGAAGGTCATAGCAGCTCAACCAAAAGTAGATTAGTGTTAGACACATTCACATCAATCATGAAACATATTCTCTATCATCAATGATATTATGATTACATTTCAATATCAGATACAATATGGGTTCAACAACTAAGAATGCCCTCTTTGGTCCAGTTCAGTCCGGATCGAATAGGGACAGAGTATGTCTCTCCCACGAAGTCACCACGCAACAGCATATACTCATCCGTATCTGACCTACTGGCTTTGACATCCTCCGAAACCTCATCTTCGTTGCTCCATTCTCGCCACGTAAGCTTTTCTCCAGGAGCATCCCCACCGCCTTCACCGTCTGCAATTTTTCCGACCTTGCCAGTGCCTGATAGTTTCCAACCCATTACCACTGGACCGTTGACCCCTCTCTTCTTGTCATCGCAGGCGCTTGCCCGAAATTCCAGTCCTCGGAAGTGGCCAGGTCCGCAGCGTAGCGTTGATTCTGCACATGACGATGATGGATCTGGAGTGTCCAAGACGAGATACAAGTAACTATCTTTCTCGGGTGGGCCTCCATCGCCGTACATAATATGAGGGTCACGGGAAGTAGTCGATTGTGGGAAGAACACAGAATGCGTGAGTGTCGATGTTCTCAGTGGGGAGTCTCTCGGTGTGCCGGCCTGATCTTGGAGAGGCGAAAGCGAGATTCTGATGATCTTCGGACTATAGGTCAATGGTGGTAGAGCCAGCACAACGTGTTCAGCTGTCCAGTTTGTCATTATGTATGGTCGTGGTAGTTCATCAACGTTTCCTAGAAATCTGTACCTAAAGCTTGCCAATATGCCATTCTTGCGAGACTGAAGGCTGTAACCAGAAGCAGTTTCAACAAACCCGAAACATGACACAATAACTTGACACTCCGCACAGGCGTCTTTCTGGTAGAATCTGATAGACAGAAGCGTGAGAAAATTCCCGCACGGCGAAAATTGTACCTCTGTTTGAATGTCAGATCTTCATCATCCGTCGCATGATCGGGTATTTGCTTTACCTCGTGACATTGCCATCGGCCTTGATGCTTGGTTTTGCCACTCTTCAGTGATCTCTAAACTTGTGCTGGAGCTAGTTTCGTCGTTGAGTAGGTCGACTCCACCAGATTTATAAGAGACAGCCACGATAGGCAATGTCGGATGACGAGCGCTCATTATCCTGGACCACGAAAAGCGGTCGGTCTGGATTGGTCGCCAAAGGGGTCTGCCAAAGTCATTTACCACGATAAGACATTCTGTCATCGGCTCGTTGCGTTCTTCATGCAGAACATCTGAGGTTTCCTGGCCTCCATGCCTCCCCCCATTATTGCTCTGCGTATCACTTGAATCAGAGTCATCATCAGAGTCAGAACTCCAGCCAGAGTCGTCATCGGAGTCTGAACTACTATCTTGGGAATCTGAGTGGTTAGCGATAACATTATTTGGTGACTTTGCTCTCTCATGGTGATGAACTAGGCATTGACCCTTGCGAAAATAGAATAGCCGAGTCATCGTATCCGAGTCTTTCCGAGTTGGTTGCGTCACGACGTCAAGCTGCACCAGATTCCATTGACCTTTGCCTTCGAGCCCCAAATCCAGGTATCTGAAGACGTGGGGAGGGGCCTGATCAACTCGACTTCCTAAACTGCCGTCCAGAAGGCAACGAGTGATACTCAGATCACGATTGTTCACTTTCCAGCTCTGGAGAAAGGAGCCTCGCTTGCTATCCCGGGCAATTGTGGTGATCCATTCGCTATCAGGGGCTGCTGAGTCGAAGACCAACTCTCTATTTTGCTTTGACAGAGAGAAGACATCCACTTGATTCACTTTGACACGGCGATGGGGCATCAAACCGTCCTCGCGAATGATCCGAAGCTGCAGTGTTTTACCACGCTTCTTACCTGTAGAAGAGAACGAGGACTCCAATACACGCATCTCGGCCGTCAATTCGAGTAACTTGGCAATGTATTTGATGTGAACCTTTTGAAGACCGTCAGGGGCTTTGAGATGGCAGCTGGGCTTGTAAAGAGTGAGCGGAACAGCATGATGAAGCTGATCAGGGTTCTTGGTAAGAAGTTCGCCCCAATCCAGAACAAAAGCACAAAATGAGTGGTCGAGCGATATATAATCAGTTGACGAAGAATCCTCGTTCCATGGCGGCAGGGGAAGTCCAAATTGAAGAGCCGCGTTAGGTATTGTTCCCAGCATCGGCTTGTAATGAGTTGTTTCCCGCTTGTAGCGTGCGAAAAGATGGGGGGCTGCATGACTTTGTACGTAGATACAAGTCCAAAATGCAGGGCTCTTGAGGAAGTCTTCAACAATCTTCAGGGTCTCGGGGCTTGGGGTTATATCCTGCATATGCATATGCCAAAAGACGGCGGCGTAGCGAAGGAAAGCATTGCTGTAAGATAAATCCGACTTTGTGACCAACGCTTTCAGGTCAGATGGATCTTGGTACCGTTTCTCACTGAGATACTCGATGCAACTAACTCCGAGCTCCTCCAACGCTTTGGTCTCATCGATGAAGAAGTCCGGCAGGTACTTCTCGATTATCTTCTTGTTTTTTGGGTCGATAAAGAAGTCCTTAACTGACTTGTGACACAGGGAGATCTTCTGAGAACCATTGATGTCGTCCATGGTGATCAAAGGGCTGCAGACATCCTTTACTCTATCGTAAACGTGAAGTGCATCCTCCCTTGGTTTGATGTCTTCATTTCGAGGATTGGTATAAGATTGGAGGGCGTCAACAAGCTCCAGCAGCGTAAGTTCTTTTTCCGACAGTGTGAGAATTCGAAAGGTTCGCCTGCACCTGCAAGTCAACATCATTGGCCGGCGTACAGACCTCAAAGCTCCTGTATAGTTATATATCAAACTTACTTGGCTAGATCCTGTTTGTGATAGGGTAGTCCTGCAATTCTGGCTAATGACTTGATATAGCAATCCTCCAAGCCTCTGGGGAAGCTTTGAAGGGCATCGATGGTTCCTTGTTTAGTTCTGTAGGCTTTGTTCTTTGCAATCTCACAGATCAGGGCTGCATAGAGAAAATTGTGTTCGTCCGTGTCAAACCAGGGCTCGTCGTGAGTTGGGCAGATCCTCTGGGCGTCGAGAAAGGCACGGATGTCTCTAGAAGTGTCCGTGAGGTTTGGCCTAATTTCGAGGGCTTTGAAAGCGTCTTTGACGGACCGTATCTCCGGAACGTCTCTGCTAGTAAGGAACCATTTGACCGTCCCAAGCGTATCCAAGTTGAGAAGCTGCTGCAAGCTGTGGAACAAAGGATTGCCATGAGTTCGAACGGAGCATTCGTCCAACCCATCCAAAACCACATAAACCTGGGAAAAGCGGCTATGATTCAACAGTGCATGAAGAAGTCTGACCATTACCTCTCCATCGTTGTTAGTCAGCTCGTGCTTGCAGGTCTTCCTTGCCCTATCATACTCGGCTTTTAACGGGTTCGAGGCCACATCAACTTTGCTCAAAAGCTGCAGAGCGATAGATCGTAGCCCACAAGCCTCTTGCCGCTTGGAAGCCGCCCTGAATGAATAGAAGAAATGAACAACTTCTGACTCAGGCTGACCTTGCAAGTGGTTGATAACAGCGGATGCCAAAACGCTTTTACCAGAGCCGGGAGGCCCATTGTACCAAAGAACAGAATTCTTCTTGGCGTCTCTCCAATCTTTGAACTCTTGTCTCTCAAACAACCATGTGCAGGTGCCCTCTGTGCGACACATGTTCCTCAATTCCAAGTCCTTGTCTGTATCAAATGAGTCGGCTTTCTCGCCACCTCTTATCCACCTTAAGATTTCATCTCTTGTCCTCTCTTGTTTTTCCCTGGCTCTCTCAATCGCAATACTTGCAATGAGCAATTGGCTGACCTGTTTGGAGTCTTCACGGAACTTCTCTCGGAAGGTCTGTATTTCTTGCTTGAAGGGTCTAATCGCCGAAGATAAAGTGACCCTTGTGTAGCTTTTGGATAACACCCTAGCCGAGTAGGCCCAAAACTGTAGGATATTCTTGTATGACTTCTTGATGGCCTTGGATATCTGTGGAGAAGTCTGCTGTGACATGGCAGTCATCTTGTAGCAGTCCAAGAGTGGAGAGACCTCCTCCAGAACAGTGAGTATATCTTCCACGGCACCATGAGCTTTTGTAGCAAGTTCCAAGACGATTCGAAACCCAGAAACAGCGATTGCGACACCAAAAGGTGCAGGCTGAAGGAGATTCTCGCATGACTTGGTCAAGGCAGTGATGCTTTCGACGAATGGGTTGACCTTTTCCCGCAAATGATGAGCTTTGCTCCCTGTCCACTTTTGTTCGACCTCGCGAATACATTGTTGCATCTCTTCAATGGAGTCGTTGTGCTCCTCGTCTCTGCATTTTTCAATCTGCTCCTTTCTGTGGCTCACGAACTGCACGAAGGGATTGTCGGCGAGTTTTACTGTCTCGGGATCTTGGAGAAACTCGTTGATTGCAGCTTCACAAAGATTGTTAAACAAATTTCCATTTTCGGTCATGTTGAAGGATGATGTTCTGGATAAAGAGAGTGTCGACATAATTATCCTGGCTTTCTGGTCTGGCTTGACCGTGCCTTTCTCACGAAGGATGTCGAGGAAAGAATAAAAAAGTCCCCTCCTGCTTGTAGAGGAGGATGGTTGTGCAGGTTAGGTAGGCAGAAGTGTCTGTCTCATTATGCATGCACGGAATGTGGGATTGGAAATAACCCCGCTCACTCCTGACCTCACTTATGTTTCAGCTGGCCAAGACTAACCGATCAAGAAAATGGCAGATTTATCCTGAAATATCCGAGAGGCACCAAGAGCTTTTGTCATTTGCCGTCAAAAACTCAATTGGCTACCTCTACCAAATTCTTTTCAGCTTGTCAAGGATGTTTCGCAGCTAGATGGTCTGATTCCTGCGCGTGATTTAATGCCATACCCCGAATAGGAATCCATATGCCGTTGGTCATAAAGAGAATCTTACTTCTGGGGCCTCAGTCGCAGTAGCTGTGCCACGTATACAGCATTCATCTGACGTGCTTGCGCTATTCCTGCAGGCTGACCGAGTTGGTTACCCGAACAAGATCTCGGCCCGTTATATTCATTGAAAATGGAATTACAACAAAACCCTATTGCTAAGTCCTTCGGTTGCACGCCATCATAGCGTTGACTTCTCGTTTCACGGCAGTCTCTTAGTCTTCACTGTCGCAAGATGACTTCTAATCAACCGCACCCTCATCATGAGAATGGCACCGGGCCAGTCTCCCAAGAATCCATTTGCGAGTCCAAGGTCTATCACCATACTAAGAACAAAGATGGCAGAGACCAATGCAAAGAACAGCTTCCTGACTCTGAGTCAACAAAGAATTCTGAAGACGACGAGGACAGCCCATATGCCTTGATTGTCAGAAGACGGTTTTCAGAGAAGCGAGAAGTCGAGTCAACTACAGTATGCATCAACTCGCCACTGATTCATAAAGCTTTCCAGGATGTCATCGGCTCTTACCCAACGGTTGCATCAGACTTCAAGAGCTCTTTCAAGCTTGAGAGTCCATTTCAGATCCTTCTGCACTACTGGGATCCTCTCGAAGCCTACCGAGATGGAGCCGACTCTCCTCGGATGCGGCAACATCTCAACTTGCTCTTCCGTTTCATGGAAGAAGAAATGGGTCCCGAGAGACGCACTCTCCAGCATATGCTCCAGAAACAAATGATCACTTTCAAGCAGGCATGGGTAATCTACCGTCCTAGAGACCTTGTTGTTAGCGACGTCCTGGGAAAGTCTTGGCTATCACGCGTGGAAAAAGTGTCTTATGGGACAAGCCGAAACCGCGGACCATATGTGACGATTCATATGAAATATTGCGACGCCAATGATGATGCGATTGGGGAGGCTCAACGGTCTGCCAACATCTTCCAGAGCGATTATTTTGCCTCAGATCATCCAGCTAAGATTAGGCGACTTCCAGTCTATCCACGAAAGTTCTGTGACCGTGGCCCGGACCTGGAAATCGAGCTTCTTGAGCGAGGCAAGAAGTTTATCACCAATCGTGGGATATTGACCAAAGACTATGATGGCATCGCAGAGTGGCTGAAAGAGCCTCCACTCGACTTCTTTGATCCCAATATGGCAGACTATCCGCCTATCTGGCTGCCATTCACCGTAAGTGTTCATGTAGCTTCCGGGGGAATACTAACGAGGACAGGAAACCGGACGTGTTGTACTTGATCGCAAGACATTCGAAGAAGACAACTATAGCCACGTTACCATGATTGAAGATGTTGATAATCCGGAACTTTTCCTCTGCCCGCCATACGCTCTGGGGTACTCAACTGGCCGAAAGGAGTGGTGTCGCTATCTAGTCGATAATCTACGAGATGTAACATGGAAGGAGAACGCATGGTCATCACTGATTCTTGACCAGGAACAAAAGCAGGTCTTGAAAGCTCTTGTCATGTCACACAAACATCCAGAGAGGGTCAGGAGCCTTTCAGAACAGAAGGGTAAAGGACTGGTAGTTCTTCTGTACGTCTTTGCTGAGAATTTGCAGGATGATTGGTATTGACTCGGAATCCAGGCATGGAACTCCTGGTTCCGGTAAAACACTGTCTGCAGAAACAGCAGCCGAGATGTCTAAGAAAGCTCTTTTGTCCACAAGTATGAGTGAGCTAAACAGATATGATAGGTGAGCAGTACTCTTTCGAGAACTGAAAGGGGGCTTATTTGCTGATCTCTCGCAAATGAAGAGCATATGCCTTTGAGTACAGGCTTAAACAAATTCTGCAGTACGCCACTACCTGGAACGCGATCATCTTATTCGACGAAGCAGACGTCTTCCTCGAGAGCCGAGACTTGACTTCCAGCAGCACTACTCGTACCGCACTTGTGGCCGTATTTCTAAAACACCTCGAATATTTCTCAGGCATTGTCTTTCTGACGACGAACCGCCTCAGCAGCATAGATGCTGCGATGAAGTCCCGCATCCACCTGTCGCTTTCATTTGGTCCTCCCGAGGCAGAGGTTCGCCGCCAGATCTGGAAACAGAACCTTGAAGCTGTCCCCGTCGACGAGACAGAGATCGGCGGGGAGGAATTGAGTAGCAAGGCAGCCGAGGACTTGATACACCATAAGCTTAACGGACGTGAGATCTCCAATGCTCTAAACACAGCGAGGACTCTTGCGAGATTTGAGGAGGTCAAGTTGAGTTTGCAGCACATTGAAACGGTACTCAAAGTTGGACAGACATTTGGGAAGCATATAGGAGCTTAAATCATTTTACGTTGCCATAGAATCGATTGATCCCTTCATTTCACCTACGAACTCCTTCTTCAGCCAACGTATTCTCTATCGCGGCACAGTGCGCGCCTTTCTTCAGAAACACGATAGTGAATTATTTGGTATTCAACAAATGGATAAGAAATATGGAGAGAAGAAAAATGAGTCTAATATAAAGACAACGTCCACCAAAGCCTCCGGTTTCCGGCTCGCACGCGTGGATCTTCCCACCACTGGTAAAGAGCCCTCCGTGAAGACCTCGTCTACTTCAATCATACTCACACTCTAAGAGACTCCAGGAGACGAAATAGCTTCAGATGTATTATGAGGTGGTCCTTGTTGACGTAGTATCCAGAATCATGACAAAGTCTCCACGCCCTCCAGACACTTTTGTTCCCTCCGGATCTGCTGCAACGAGACAGACCGAATGGCTTGACCAGAGAGCATTAGGTGGTGCAAGGCATCGCCATGTGACCGGATGGCTGCTTTATCCACCTGTTCCTGGACCACATCGAGACTCCAAGTGGCATGCAGATCTCGGACAACTTCCCAAGCCTGAAGGACAGAGGTTGTTATGCGATATTTCCATGTGCCCCTCCAAAGAATTTTGGCTTGCTTTGAACCGCGGTTCACGCGATACTGGAAAAGCGCCGCCAGTCCCTTTTGCCCGTTCCAGATCTCCATGGTTTCTAGCCGTGGCATTCTAAGAGCTGCCGCTGCCGCAGTTTGTAGCAGAGCGCCTATCTTGGTGGAATCCTCTTCCGGCTTGAGGAGTCGGGAAGTCAATACCAGCGAGGTTAGGTTGGGCCACTCCCAAGAGGGGTCGATGTCGAAGAAATGACTAGCCTCTATAATGAAGGAGGCGGCGAGATGCTCTAGCGGGAGGCTGGTGAGTGCAATCGTTCGGCTAACAGCTGGGGATGGGTTACGAATACTGTCGCACGAGGCCAAATCCTCCCCTTGATAAAATCGTTGCATAAATACTGGGTACTGTTGGTTAAAGTTCTCAAAGACTACCAACCTTTTAAGAGGATAATGGCCATGTTGGATCGACTCGAAAAGATATAGATATTCTAGACCATGAATATAAATTGTAAGCGATAGCAAAAAGTTATACACATCTATCAAATAATAAAGGATAAGGATGCTTACCCTTATCTGTATGGCGCTGGAAAGTGTCCCACTCCCTCCATGGCTCATAATAGACTTCCTGGAGTCGGGGGAAACAGGCAAACATATGGGCCAGCGCGGTTGGCTTCCATCTACGGCGATTCTGTTGCCGGAGAAGTATACTCGTGACGGCGGAGGCTGAAGGAAGCTGATTCCACCATTCGATTTCTGACTGTTCGCTACCAAACGGTCCCTCCTCCATAATAGGATAGAATACTTTATTGACCGCTGCCCGAGGTGGAGCTGAGTGTCGAAAACCATCAACCCAGCCGTGGGGAGGGTCATGATAGCCTTGGTTTATTGTGGCCGGCTCTAGGCCACTGCCATGTAGCCTATCGGAAAGGTTATCAGGCATAAAGGTTAGATAGGGAAACCAATGTTGAGCGTCACTGGGCGAGTAAATGCTAATGTCAAGCATCAATTCGCTGACTTGATCCCATCCACTGAGAGTCGAGAACAAACCATGAAAGGCCGTGGTAATAGGACAGTGTTCTGTGTCGCTAACAGTCATCGCAACTTCCACCTCCTTTCCTTTGAGCGCTCCATTCCTAGGAGCACACTGAGTGCAATTATAGCCATCCAGTTCCAAGCAGAACCAGATATAGCGGACGGTAGCTTGATTGCGAGGGATTATGGAACGAAAGTCCATGAGGCGCGATGGAGTCAATCTGATGCGAGCAAAATTGTATCGTTCGATGTCAGTCTGCCACGCTCGAGATACGGCGGCCAGGCACGCTAGCGTTGAGCCATCTTGCATCAAATTTTGGAAGATGAGAAGGCGGATTTCGCTAGACAAGCTGTCCCACGACGTTTTGCTTGGTGAGGGAGACTGCATGGTGGAAAAGACCTAGAGGGGGTGGTGTCGCGATGCAGGAATGGGAGAGGGGGGAAGGGGATGAGGATAAGGGCACCTGGGGAGAAGTGGGGACAAATGAAAGTAATGCATTTATTTATACTGGTTACATTTCTGACGAATGGCCTGTCATTTGGTGGGCCATATGTATGGTTTGAGTGTAAAAGGCTTTGAGCCTCTAACATAGAGTTATAAATAACCCAGGAGAGGAAAGAAAACTCATGCTCTGGATCCTACTCGCCGAAGATGCTTACTCGAATTTAACATAAGCTAAGGAGACTTTTTATTAAGTTCATTTGGATACCCTACATTAAGGTCGGGTGTTTTCTTGCCTCCTGAGGATACAGCATACAATTTCTCACAAGAGTCATCCTCAACTCCACCACAGTGGTCTGACGAAGTCTATGTCGTGCTATGGAATATGAAAACCCAAAGCTTGTTTCGATTCAACATGACTGGCCGTTGCGGGGGGGTGGTCATCACCAGAAAAAAGAAACACTTGTCGAACAGTCTGTCCTCACTTGTCACTCCTTACCCCAAACCATCAAGAGGCATACTCCCCAGTCAATCGCCGCAACTCTAGTAGCTTGCGAACAGGTACAGAAAGTTTTTCATCTAAGAAAGTCAGTATTTCTCAAAAGAGTATAGGTGGCTCTTACAGTCTTCCTGAGCTTGTTTTCGAAGCCATTTCGTCATAGTTATGGAGCGATCAATGCTCTCCAGCAAGTGATTCATCCCCATTGCATTTAATTTCCCCACGGCTTTCCGGTTTTCTTCGAGCATTTGTTCTACTTCTTGATATTTCTTCAATGTCTCGTAGAGTCGAATCGATTCGGTCCTGGGCCAGAGAGATGAGCCCAGGCTCGATGGTGATTTGGGCTGAAAGCTGGAGTTTGTCACCCAACGTATGCCGCTCTTAGAAGCTACAAGGGCTCTCAGGTTCGCCGGGATACGTGATCGCATGGCAAAACATTCAGGGGTGTTGTTAGGTGTGATGAGGAGTTAAATTGAATTGTCTGCAAGGTGGATCGGTAGACCTCATAAATACAGTTTTGGGAAAGTTATTTCAATCTTCAAACTTTCTTATAGGGCTAAATCGTATCAAGAATTTAGGGCTGTGCGGATTCTTCCTTGTGTTGGTCTGAAGCTTGTTAGCCCAACCTTAAGCTTAGAGGAGGCGATGTGGCATCCAGGTTTGGCATGTTTACATGCCCAAAGGTTACTGGTCAGTATCTAAGTTTGTGGAACTCCTCCAGAATGTGGCATTTAGTGCACAAAAGACCATAAAATAATAAAATGATTCTCGCGATCAAGAGCCTTGCCTGGGTGTGTATGCTCAATGGCCTCTGAGGAAGCGGTGTATTTCGCCTTCATTTAGGATAATATCTGATTGTTTCCATTAATCAAGTATCTTACTCATGTGCTGTCAATTAAACCTTGATGCATGGTTACTCTTCGCGCACGCTGTTCAGCAAATTTTACTTTGCTTGACAATCATTCTCAGTAACGTGATATATCACATGATGCGTTCTACAAAGATAAGACCAAAGTATTTGTCACTAATATAACGTTGTCAACGTGCCTTAGTAAGGGGTCCCGAGGTTCTGGCTTGGTTCGGCATGGAACAATCTCTGACCAATGCAACCCAACAGGGTGTACAGTATATACACCGGGTCTTACTCAAACTGCCAAGCAATATTATGCCTTGCTGATCCAGAACTTATCTAAAAGCTGGGGCAGCACAGCATGGAATGGCCGCACACCATCGCTCCCCCTCACTTTGTCATACAAGGCATTCCGAGCCGGATCCGTTCTCCAACAAAGGTATTGGTCAGTTATGTTAGATGTGCCACAGCATTACATTGTCTCTATCACACCGGCTGCAGCCAGAAACACGTAGACCACGACCTGGAATGGAAGAGCAGGGCGTAGCATAGGAAATCAAGGTCTTGTACGATTGGCTGCGGTAGGGAGATGAGGCTCTGCGGAGGAAAAAAGCCCAATATTTTCAACCGAATCTAACGGTGTCTCACGTGTTGAAGATGGCGGCTCCTCCCTGGTATCGGTGAGCAGCAAGACTTGACAACTTTAATCGGAGGGACTATAACAACGAGTCAAGGGGACTTCCTTAAATGACCCAGTATATTTACCATTTTTGGCCAGTGTCTCTGGTTACTTGGCCTCCTGAGGCTTGGAGTGTCGCACAGAGCTTTAGGCTCTGCTCTGAGTTGTGATACCACGGGGCATACAGCCTACGTCTGATCCTTTCAGCTCGTCGCACCAAGATTCTGGTACAACGAAGGTACAAGTAGCACTATAGATTGTGACACCGTCTTTCAGCCCCGACTTCCAACTTGTACAAACTACCAATCACCTGGATGTCACCAGTACGCCACTTCTCATAGAGGCCGAACCCGGCGCCAATATGCGGTAAGAAGCCAGAGCCTGACTCTCTATACCTAGCGATCCTCCCCTAAGGATTTGGGTCACCATCTACCCGTTCCTTCGCTCCCAAGTGATTCCATACTTTTGCTACCCATCATATTCCGAAAGGGTCATCCAATCACTCCCAAGATACGAAGAAACAGCCCATTTGACATCACAAAGTGTGCGCGGCCCAACATTCTCGCTTTGGAGCCCTACACCAGTGAGAGAGAGTACTGGACCCGCTGATATCTGATTTCACTGAAAGTACTAAACATTTGTAGCGATTATCCGCCTGGTGCAGACATCACTCTTCTGGATGCAAATGAGAATGCATTTGGCCCGAGCATCGATTTCAGTACATCTGGCTTGAAGGCCAACGGGACTAAGGAAGAATACGCCGCTCTCAACCCGACGGGCACAAACAAGGCTACTGTCATTGAGCAGCCAACCGTTGACCCGAAAGGGTTGCAGTTGCATCGCTATCCCGATGCGTAAGTCTCAATCACCAGTTTCAATCATATTCTAACAATCAGACAAGCCATTCTATGCAGCTAAGGCAGAACTTTTGCGACTTTCGTCAAGTTGAAGGCGCGAAACCTCTGACTGTACAGAACGTTTGTCTCACTGTTGGAGGCGATGAGTCCATCGACATCATCATCCGCGTCTTTTGTACCCCCGGCAAAGACAAGATTCTCATTTGCCCCCCAACTTATGGCATGTACGAAGTCAGTGCTCACGTCAACGACGTGGGTATTGTGAAGGTCAATCTTGATGTTGACAACGGCTTTGCATTAAGGCCTGATGCCATCAATGAGGTTCTATCTGCAGATCCTACTGTCAAGGTGGTGTTCATCTGCTCGCCAGGAAATCCAGCTGGGAACCTGCTCGAAAGATGTGATATCGTCAAGGTCCTTGGGCATCCGACGTGGAATGGCATTGTGGTCGTTGACGAAGCGTACATTGACTTTGCACCCAAAGAGTCCAGTTTCGTCGCTGAGGTGAACACTTGGCCCAATCTCATCGTTGCACATACCATGAGCAAAGCTTTTGGTCTCGCGGCAATTCGGCTGGGTATTTCCTACTCTCAGCCTCAAATTGCTCGTCTGATGAACAATGTCCGGGGACCTTACAACATGCCTGCTCCAACAGTGGCTCTAGCTGGTGCTGCACTATCCCCGAAGGGACTCTGTGTCATGGAAGAGAATCGAATCATGATGGTTCAGCAGCGAGAACGACTCCTGCAAGAGCTTCCCAAGATTCCAGGCTTTGGAGGATTTCTTGGGGACTTCCACACCAACTTTGTATTGGCCCAATTTCTTGACAAGCCTGCGAACCAGGGTGGTGTGCCAGACCGTGATACGGCAACGGCTCTCAAAGATTCTTTGGCTACCCGAGGACCTATTCTTGTCCGGGATCGTAGCAAGCAGATTGGCTGTTCTGGATGTTTGAGGATCACAGTTGGCAACAAGGAACAGGTGGATGATCTCCTTGCACAAATCCGAACTACACTCGAGGAGATGTACAAGGCTAAGTAGTAAGAGTAGTGAGGAAAGTATTCGAAGTTTCTTTGGTAAGAGAAAAATACTGAATAAAGATTATTGGATACTCTGTGCTCTCGTTTTTGCGATCATCTAGAACCAGGTCCTGGACCTGACTTGACCTCGGTGAACAATGATACTTGGCCATGATAGATCCTTCAAAAACTGTTCAAGACTCTAAGAATGCAGCGGAAGAGCCAGAAACACATTTCCGACACACTTGATGACGCAGAGCCTCAGCTAATTCCAGATCGCCGATCCCCAGGTCTTCCGCTCGCAATGCAAATCGACCACCCGGCATGCTTACGGCGGTCTCAGAACAACATGCGCCCAGAACCGTCTCGCCATTTCTCGGTCGCGAGCGACATTCTCTCGGTCTGACCGAGTGCCATAACTGCAAGGCGGGACCAGAAGGCACACCACTGTTGATATTTGGCGCAAGGGATAAATCGAGAGTGGGCGATCAGCGATCCCGGGGTACCTACGCAATGAATGCACCCCTCCGGAGGCGAGGGGGCCAGCCCTGTAGGGTTGGATGCGCACCACCATTCTCGGACATGTGCAGTACATGGCTGGGAGGTGGTGACACTCAAGGGTTTGTCGCCAAGGTTGGATCTCACTGTCGCTGTTCATTACGGCTGAAGGGGAGAGTAGAGAATACTTAATTAATTTGGTATTGAAGCTGTTGCACGACAATTGCAGCTCTCACATGAACCGTTGCGAAGCAAATACAGTCAATTTTGGTGCAAATGTCTTTAGATCATCAACCTCGCAACATTGTCATCATTGGTAATCCATCCTTACCCTCAGTAGGTACGAAAGGCTAACAAGATCTGTAGGTGGCGGCGTGATCGGGTGCTGTACAGCCTACTACATAACCCGACACCCAGCCTACAATCCCCAGAGAGATCAAATTACAATTCTCGAAGCATCAAGCATCGCAGCCGCTGCATCAGGCAAAGCCGGGGGTCTCATAGCGCTGTGGGGTGAGTACTTGAAAAGCTCCGAATGGCAAGGCAGATTTGTACTGACTCTTGCTACCTAGCATGCCCCAGTTGCATTGTCCCTCTCAGCTTCCAGCTCCACGCCGACCTCGCGGCCCACCACGGCGGAGCAGAGAAATGGGGCTATCGGCGGATCCACAGCGCTAGACTCGGTGCTCGGGGCCGGACGCGCTCCGGGTTAGCTTCGGCCTCGGATGCCGGCGCCAGAGGAAATATGGTCATTCCGACGGTGCCGGCGGACTTGGACTGGCTGCACGTTGAGAATGTGCATAGCTATCGGTCCACGGGCACGCCGGAGAACACAGCGCAAGTGATCCCATATGAGTTCACCACGGCCATGGCAGAGTTGGCGATTGAGAAAGGCGCCAATGTTATCTTCGGCCGCGCGACGAGCGTTGATACTGTCAGCGGGGCTGCCAAGTCAGTGACTTATGTTCCAAAAGGCGACAGCGCAAGTGTCACTGTCCCAGCGACAGACGTCGTACTTTGCGCTGGGCCGTGGACGCGAAGTCTCCTCCCAGAGGCGCCAATTGTCGGCCTGCGCCAACACTCAGTCATAATGCGCCCTACGCGACCGCGCCCGTTGTCAGGCTACATGCTCTCCACAGAAATATCTCTTGCGACATCTGGCGTCCGTCGCGCGAAGCATGTCACAGCCGAGATCTTCACCCGACCCAACAACACAGTCTGGGCAGCAGGCGATACCGATGACATATCGTCTTTCAACATCCCAGAGACGGCTGAGGAGGTGCTACCAGATGGAGAAACGTGCGATAATATTCTTTCACATGTAGGCGCCATTTCTGATGAGCTGTGGACCAGTGAGGTGTTGTCGCGACAGGCTTGCTACTTACCCAATGTCGAAGGCGATGTTCCAGGTCCCATTTTGGGCAGCACATCAGCCAAAAGACTATGGATAGCGTCAGGGCATAGTTGCTGGGGGATACAGAATGGCCCGGGAACTGGGAAGATCATGGCTGAGTTTGTGTACAATGGTAAAGCTATGAGTGCCGACGTGAACGAGTTGGACATCAAACACCTCGATGGAGGCGCGCAGGATTGATGGAAAATCCTCAAAGGTCCTATTTTTCCAAGTATCTATATACACACTCATTATTTCGTTAAATCATGATAGCCTGTTTCCCCAAAACTGGTCCAAGGGCAAGTGTCTATGTACAAACCCCAATCATTTGAACAACACCGCATCCCAGCGACTTGACACTATCCTTTGAACATGAGGCGCGGATATGTCCCCTATATGCTCCGTCGTAGTCTCAAACTCGGTCTTCAGTAGCGATATTCGTCTTGCGGCACTACCGCGTTGTCTCTTCGCCTCCAAGGCCAGCACAATGTCCGCATACCCATTCCACGCCGCCCATTTCAACGCCGTAATTCCACGTCGATCTGCAGCATGGATCTGGACGCCGTCGAGAGTCATGAGAAACTCGACCACGTTTATATGACCCTCGCGCGCCGCCCATGAAAGCGGACTTTGTCCGCTGTTGTCTTTCTTGTCAGCATTGACGTCCGATCGTGACGCCAGCAGTCTGACTACAGAGGCGTGGCCATTGTGTGCCGCCCACGATAGCGGTGTGCGATGATCTGCGTCTGGTGTATCGGCACTGACGCCAGAAGTACTCAATAAATAAGCAACAATACCGATATGACCGTTGTGAGCTGCCCATGAGAGCGGCGTTTGACTAAAGTCATCCTTTGAGTCGATGTCAACTCCAGGTGACTCAGCCAGCATCATTGTGATCTCCAGGGTGGTTCTATGACTTTGTGGACGAGTGGTCTGCGAAGCTTGACAAGAAGAGCTGCTCGTCGCCCAGAGTACTGATATGATACAAGAGTATGCTACCCAGGTGGTTGATAGAAGAGTCGTGGAAGAAAAGGACATCGAACCAGAGACATTCCAAGGCCGATTACTGGCTGCTGGTATCTCACGCGAGGAGGCTATAGCTCAAGTTGTTGATGTCATGTTTGCTGGTACCGACGCTGCTGGGACGGCAATGGCGATTCTGTGCTGGAACTTGGCTCAGCATCCCGAGAAGTAAGTCATATGCCCCGTTACCTTTTCAGAGCAGTGTTAACCCTGCTTCAAGATACGACCGCGTTTACAAGGAAGTCATCGAAAATACTGAACTTGACGCCCAATCCCTGCCTTACCTCACAGGTGTCGTTAAAGAAAGTCTACGTCTGTCTATGGCTAACCCAACTCGCTTCCCTCGTATTGTCCCATCTGGTGGAATGCACGTTCCCGGTCTACCCAACATTCCAGCTGGTACCAGCGTCGGCGCCGGCGCATTCATGCTGCACCATAATCCTGAAGTCTTTCCAGAGCCACGTCAGTTCATGCCAGAGCGATGGCTGAATCCATCTCAGGAGATGCTGCGTGATAGCTTCTACTTCGGAGCTGGCTCGCGGCAGTGCATCGCGCGGAATCTTGCGTCTGCTGGGCTTTGGTGGACGGCTGAGGCTCTTATCCGAAGTGATGTCCTTCGGGGTGCAAAGATTGTTCAGGACAAGATTGAGATTATTGAGTGGTTCAATGCAAAGATTGTCGGCGAGAAGATCGAGGTGCATTGGTGAACAAGGCTGGGACACACGCCTGTAAAAGACTCTATATGATGCAGCTTCAAGCTCTGCTTGGTGTGCAAGGTATGAGTTTTTGTACAGGTGGCGGAAATTATTGTCGAAGTTATTATAAACTACCCTCATAAAACACTCAAAGGGTTTGAAAACAAAGTTATGGCCAATTTTCCGACATACTGTAACAGACGATACTTCAGTCATGGACTCGTAAATCACCAGATGATCGAGAGCCTTGGGGAGGCAGACTCAGTCTACACTACGAAGATTCTACATGATAATGAAGCAAACGATAATAGCTTCCGTCTATCTTGGCCCAATTGAGTAAAAGGCTTGGGGCAGTTGATTGTTGTTTACGTTACTCCTCTTGCGCGTTTTTCCTGATGGCAATGATTCTCCAACACCCTGCGGGGGGATAAAATTCAGGACCTTGATCCTAAATGGCAAAAAGATTTAGGCTAACTTAGTGTAAGTTTAGGATATATTTGCTAAGCTTAGGGTGTCTTTGCCAAGTTTAGGATACTTTTGCTGACTTTGTTCTGATACCTTGTATCAAAAGGTCTGGGCTGCGCAACCCGTTGGTCTATGCTATCTTGCCTGTCAACCCGCCCATCCGACCGCTGACGATGAGGATGACTTGGATATCGGAAAAGAGAAGAAGAACCGCCGTATTTCTATCTAGACTATTCCGAAGGGTATCTTCCGAGGAGATTCCCCTACCGCTTAGGATCCTCGCTTCACGCATTAGTAGAGGCGCTCTTCGTTGTTCCTGACCATATCGGCGCTATTGTCTTCAGACATACAGTAGTCCTGTAGCTAAACAAAGATGTATTCTCCGGATCCCCTCTAGCTGGGTTCATCTCTTCTATCTGCAGTCTCCTGTCCACATCAATATCAAAAGGCTTGATGTTTTCCTACTCCCCGAGAGGATCGCATTGCTATTCCATTCTGTTTCATGCATGGTAGATGATCTGTCGCCTCAAACTTAATCCTTGGCGGTGAAGTGGATACAGCGGCAATCTTTGCCAGTGCATCAATGCTTGTGGGACCGTGCCTGTTCGGTGCAACAATTGCCCCGACGTATAGAACCTCGTAAAGAACTTGATACGAAACCTTGACGAGAATTAATAAGAAGATTATGACAATTTCAAAGCGAAACGCTTCGAGGTTTCGGAACGTCAAACATGCATATAATTGACCAACATCACCAACAACTGATCCACGTTGCTCTGAATGTGGCCAATAAAAGCTTGAACACCAACCAACAACCTTTGAAAGCAACACGCTTTGTTCTAACGCTAGCTTATAAATACGGCATAACGTTATCGGCAACGTCACAGAATATTCGATGGGCACGGCTCATATACTCCGCTGAGTAACTCGGCCGTCGGATTAGGACTAAACGATTCATGTACCGAGGCAAAGGCCCCGTCGCCAACTCCACTAGCGGACTTTTCGCTGTAACCTTGTCACGATCTTGCGGAGTGGTCTGTTCTTTTTGTTATGGTGCGAGATTTGCATAGAATTTTATAGAGTTTATATAAAGAGTCGCTGCGCCAGGTCTAGAATAGTGATATCGCCCTACTTCTGCCTTCTTAAGAAACTTAGCAATTATTTACGATCCTTATAATTAATACTTCAAAATGGCACCTGCAAGATACGGAAACGAGGTCGTTGACCCTGCGCCTCTATTACAGCCTCTCGACTATGTTTTCGCTAAGCGACAAGCACCCAACCGCTTTCTCAAGGCAGCCATGTCTGAGAAGCTCGCCACATGGGACCCCAAGGATGTCTCAGCCAGAGGATACCCTACACCAGAGCTCATCACCCTCTACAGGAACTGGGGTGCTGGTGGCTGGGGAACCATCCTAACCAGCAACGTTATCATCGACGGCATTAACCTGGAAGCCCCCGGCAACCTCATTATCCCTGCCGATGAGCCCTTCGAGGGTCGTCGCTTTGACGGCTTCAAGGAGATGGCTACCGAGGCCAAGAAGAACGGCAGTCTTTTGGTCGCTCAGGTCTCTCATGCTGGTCGTCAGGTTGAGGACTGGGTGAACCCCCATCCCATTAGTGCCTCAGACGTTCAGCTCATCAACTCTGGCATGTCTGGAAGGAGTTTCGCTGCTCCTCGGCCTGCTACCAAGGAGGACATCGCCAACATCATCAACGGTTTCGCTCACGCCGCTGAGTTTCTCGACAAGGCTGGATTCGACGGCATTGAGCTCCACGGTGCCCACGGCTATCTCTTGGCTCAGTTCCTCTCCCCTCGCACCAACAAGCGAACCGATGAGTACGGCGGTAGTCGTGAGAACAGAATGCGCATTGTTCTCGAGGTCTTCGCCGAGATCAAGCGTCGTGTGAGCCCCAACTTCATCGTTGGCATCAAGGCCAACTCTGTCGAGTACACGCCAGGCGGTATTGATATCGATGATGTCAAGGCCTTTGCCGTTGCTCTCGAGAACGCCAAGGTTGATTTTATTGAGCTCTCTGGAGGAAACTATGAGAAGTTTGCCTTTGCCCACGAGCGAGAAGAGAACAAGAAGCGAGAGAACTACTTCCTTGTTCAAGCTGAGGAGATCGTCAAGGTCTTGAAGCGTGATACGAAGATCTTTTCCACCGGAGGTTTCAAGAGTATCAAGGCGATGGTTGATTCTCTTCAGGTCATTGATGGTGTTGGCATCGGCCGTGCAAGCGCCCAAGAGCCTAGATTCGTCGAGACGCTTAAGAAGGTCTCGATTCCTGGAACAATGGAGCAAAGATTCGACCACGATGATGTTCTCAAGAGACTTGCTGCAGCTGGAATCCAAATATCCCAGATCGCCAATAACTTGGAGCCTGTTGATTTGAGCAAGCAGGAGAATGCGGATAGTCTGTGGAATGATGTTATGCAGTACTTTCAGCAAGCTGCTCAAGATGCGGAGCATAAGCTGTACAAGTGGCCTGCTCTGTCGCAGGTGGCTCATCCTTATGGAGAGTTGGACTTATGACTAGCAAAAATATGATTTAGCGAATTAGATTAGAAGGATAGCTTGTTGTATACGAATACTTAAAGCCACTTACAACTTTACTACCAGGACGCAACGCTTATAATCTTTGGAAACGCCTGTACGGAGGTCGGCGGATTTGAGTTAAGCTTCTCTCGTAAGCTTAACCCCTGACACTGGCATCGGCAGTCGTAAGACCAGGGGTAATCAATAAGGAAGGTATCATGTCGCCCTCAGAAAGTAAGAAAACACGAGACTGTAGAAGAGGATGCTAAAATAAACTCAGTAGAGGTTCCCCTAAACTTGGGCCAAGTTACCTAAGTCTTTTCATCACTTAGGATAAAAGTCCTAAGTTTTCTTGCCTCGCCTAAGCTCACCCCACTCGCTTTGACCAGTCGCAAGTGCACAGTGACTTCTTCTTTCCTTGTCTTCCAGGGTCATCCATTGACAACTTGCGCCCAAGGCAACGATTTCCTCTTTCTTCTTCCAACACAAATTCGGCGCCATACGGTTTATTCACAGTCTATTATTCGCACTCGTTACGATGGCAGCCATTTATGGAGTTATGACTTTGAATATAGGTGAGGGCAATTCTCTCTCCTCCATCCCTCTCTGCTTACCATTGGGGCTAGTCATTTTCGCCCTCGAAGTATGCTTTTTATCATCAGGCGATTCTCCAACAGCACCGCAATATAGCCTCGTCAACTGGAAACACGAAACGATCGACCTTGTTTAGGGACCAGAGTGCGCGGTCGCGATGAGAGATGTAATACCGGACGTGTACCAATTCGCAATTTCTGGTAACCTACCATCCCACGTATCACGAGCTCGGTCGAGCCTTGGTCTACTATCTGCACCATTCAGTCACTAATTCAAGTTTCAAGGTCTATGCAGAATCAATGAGACGGCGAAAAAGACCTGCGTGGGCCATTTCCCCGGATCGCTCAACCTTACAGAAGCTATTTTCCAAGACATCGATAACTTCAAGCATTGTGAACCCTGGAATGAGACTTTAGAACAACAATGCAAAAAAGCCATCAGCAACCATGTTATCGACTACAAATCAGCAGAAAGTCTCGAGCGCTTGCTGGTCGCGTTCCTCGTCCTTTCCATCCTGACCAACGCGATATCGTTTTACGTTTTAATCAGAACTGGTGCGGTACTCCACGTTTTTACCTCGACAATTCTCGGCTTTGACACTATGCTCCTCTTCACAAGCCTCTCCTTATGTTTTATGGCGATGAGCTACGAAGTTGGTCCGTACGTGGAAAAGATCCCACTGAAAGACTTTTCAGATATACAAATGGTCGGTCCTGGCTTTTGGACATTGCTCGGGATCGTGATTCTGCGGATACTGACGAATGTGAATTTAATCTGGGGCACAATCCCAATAGCGATTCCTGTAGCCTGCGTCTTTTGTTATCTTATACACATGAAGGGTTTCTTCACTCTTGTCAGAAGTACAGTTTTGACGGATCTGTCGAGAATGACCACCACCTGAGGGATGTGTTGGGGGCACGTCATGGTATGTGCGTGTTTGGGGCGATGGCTCTTATCTATACAGAGAAACGCTACACAGCATCCCTTTGAATGCTTTACAAGATGTATAGCTTAGAACATCTCGTACTCAGGGTTCTTCCAATACAATCAAGGTTATTTCAAGGTTATGGGAAATCTCATTCTCAGCCCTCTCTCAAAGCCCAGACTCCTGGTCAGTTCTTCAATCATTCCCATGAACCCAATAGAGTGGAGCGTTCCTGGCATGCACAGCAGCGCTTAGCCAGATCCTTTAACCTGTTTTTTGCCCTGGAATCAGGGACCAAAGCTTAATTCCACAATAGCACAGGGCCATTAAGCCACAATTCCACAAAATTCCAATATTTCAATCAAAGAAACGAGACTATTGAAGATGGTGGCGTTGAGAAATGCGCTGCGTTTGGCTTAGCTTCACTGTTCCGGGTTAGCCCACGTTGGATCTAAGAATTGAAACCGGCCTTAGACATGTTCCAGGCA